ACGATCGAGTGAGCAGCAGACGTATACGATCGAGTAGCTGATCGAGCAGAAGGGAAGCGAAGCAGAACCACCTGTCACTCGATGCACACACTCGAGTGACATGATCGAGCAAAGCAAAGAAGTAGATGATGGTTTCACAGATCACTCGACACGTTCACTCGAGAAACACGGTCGAGTATGAAATGATGCAGAGAAGAAATTAAGTGTTACTCGACACGCTCACTCGACCGACAGGACCATTACAACTTTTAAACCGCTTTTACGTTGTCGTTTTATGTTTTAAGGTTTTCCCAAACATTTTTATAAATAGGTCTCATTTGGATTGCCTAAGGGATCGAGTTTATTTTTATTAGGTTTTTGTTGTTAGCCACCAAACGATCCTGAGAATTGTAATCGTGATTTCTTTTGAGTCATTGATATTTTGCAGTTAGTTTTTTAATCATTGTTGTTACTCTTCCTGTCATCTTTATTATTATGCATGTTTTGAACGATTCTTGTTTCATGATGTTTAACATGATTTCTGCGTCTGAGTAGTGTTAGGGTTTCTTGAGGATGGGATAGATTAGGTGGAGGATGTTAGTTTGCTAGAGTGTTTATGTTAGATTCGTTTTGTTTCCCTTCTGGAATAGAGTTTTATTAGCTAGTTCTTCTCTGATCAATTGGAACTTGGTCATAGACATTTCATACCCGAAAGGTATATGATGAAATGTCTGAACCAACTAGTGCCAGAGATTTACATGCTTAGCCCAAGAGATTGGTTGTCTAAGATGTTTATTGACATTAATGAGCTGTTTCTTTATGCCTGTTTACTTCATGTTTCATCAATGAGAATTGAGATTAGGAAGTGTTGTAAACTTGATAGTTTCTACCAAGAGATTGGATTGACTAGTATTAGAAGTTCATTGTCTAGGGATTAGAATGTTTGCAGTTTGATAAACACTCGAAGTAGATTAGCATACTCCACCTACATCAATAACCTCATCCTCGGGATCTTCTATCCATTTGTGCTTTCTGTTTAATTCTCTTGTTATTTACTTGTTCTGCTTTGTTTTCTTGCCGGTATCAATAATCGTTACGTTTTGGTTTATGCATGGTAGTCTATGTTTTACAGCCTTACATTTATCGCATGTTTAACATGTTTGCTTAGGATCACTGAAAACCAAAAGATCATTTATACTTGCTTGACTTAATCATTTCTGATATATCTTGATTGCTAGCATCACACCTGATTGGCTTGATACCTATTGTACTGCAATGACATGATAGTACTCTAGGGTAATTGATAGAAAAATCCTAGTATCACTCCAACTTCTAACTCGATCCGATGGCCCACCTCTCTCCTAGGTGGTAATTTCTCGGGTAACTTAGGCGGCATGATGTCTTTGTTCTGCTCCAAGACTTTTTCGATCACCAGTGGGATAACAAGCGCTTCTCCAAACTCGTCATCCAACTTCAAGAAAGCGAGATACGTTGGATCTCCTTTCTTCACTCCCTTCGGGAATTGCATCGTCGAAAGTTGCCAAACTTCACCATCCTTTCGAGCTTCTACAGTAGACACCATACATGGTGAATTCTCCTCAAGGATGCACATCGTATTGAGGGCGGGCATAGGTATCGCCGAAACTTGCCTTTGGAATTCGAGGCCAAGCACGATCTTGAAGTCGTCCATGGATACCACCGAGAAATTCACGCTCTCCTTCCAAGCCCCGATACTAAGCTCCACCCCATGTGCAATCCTGTGAAGTGGTTGAGCTTTGGCGTTCATAGATTTCAACTATCCTTCACCCTTTGTCCATGTCAGACCGAGCCTCTTCACCTCTCCCTTGGACACAAAATGGTGGGTTGCACCCGTGTCCACCATTGCTTATGTGGTTCGCCCGTTGAGATGGATATCCACGTACATCAATTCTCTATTCTTCGCCTTGGACGTAGTCTTGAGGGCGTTGAGTAACTGCAACGATCCGATCATTCCAGTCTCTTGTTGACCATCGGCCTCCGTTTGTTCAAGGAGAGCGGACAATGACTCCAGTTTTGGGCAATTGCTCGTAGGGTGTGGCCCTTTGCACACGTAACAACCGCTCCTTGGGACAAAAGAACGTTTCTTTGCCTCATACTCTTCTTGTCCCGAACTCTTCCCCGGGTTCCGAGTATAAGACGATGCCGGCTGGTCTCGCCTATCTCCATTACTCCTAGGCGCTACTTTCTCCTTCTTCTTGTAGGAATCAGGTTGATTTTGGGTGAAAAAATCGGAAAGCGACTCAGCTGCATGAATTACCTCATCCACGGTGCTTACATTCCGCCGTTGCAACTCTTGCTTCGCCCATCCTTGGAGTCCATCAATGAAATGGAACACCAAGTCTTGATCGGACAAATTTAGGATTTTCAACATGAGGGTAGTGAAGTCCTTCACATAGTCTTGCATCACACCCCTTTGGCAAAGCTCTCTTAGCTTCCTCCATGCCTCATACACCACATTTTCAGGGTAGAATTGGCGCTTGAGCTCCTTCTTGAACTCTTCCCAAGTGTCTATCCGACATGTTCCCCGCTCAATGTCCGCATGACGCCTCCGCCACCATAACATTGCCGTATCGGTAAGGTACGACATGTCAGCTTTTATCTTTGCAGTCTTGTCTCCGAGCCCGAGATTGTCAAAGTACTGCTCCATTTGCCACAAGAAATTCTCAACTTCTTTGGCATCCCGTACCCCATCAAATCGGGATGGTCTCGGATAATCAACTCTAGCCGAACTTGAATTGCTTGTCCCCCCACCGACAACAGCCTTCTTGGACAAGGTAAGGTCTTCTTGCATCGCCTCGATGCTCACCTACAATGCTTGAACCTTCCCATCATCTTCTCTTCCAGTCGGACGAATTGACTCTCATTTCCCCCCCCACGTTCTCCTTGACTCCACCGAGCTCGGAGAACACAGTTTTTTCGAGTTCGGAGGCCAAGTACTCGACACGCCCGACCCTCTCCCCCAACTCGTTCACCACAACAACCAGAGACCCAACCTTATCGCGAACCCTGCTCTTCTCGCGCTTACTCGCCTTCCTCGGAGCTTGGACATCAGCAGTCTCCGTGACCAGGTTGATGTCCTCTCCGTCAACAACGACGTTTTCATCACGACCCACCATCTTTCATTAACTTCCTTGTCTTCGAATGAACTTGGCCCTGAATTAAATGCATGTATGAAACTTATAAATTTGCAAAGATAGTATTTGCAACGAAAGTTAATTTATTATAATTTTGTGATTTGAGCTTAAGAACGGTGCTTTATAAATCCTGACAATTATTTATTTGCAATTCTAAGAATATTCGTAGGCCTAGCGTTTCCTCATTATTGTTTTAAAACCAATCATTAATTTAATTTGCTGTTTTTATTTAATTTTAAACCTGCTTGCTTAGGTTAATTTAATACCAATTATTTATTGTGTAATCGTTGAGTCTCTGTGGATTTGATCTCTAAGTATTACCGTAATCTCTTAATTGAGAGAGTAGCTCAGGGCAAGTTTGAGCCGATCAAATTTTGGCGCCGCTGCCGGGGACTCAATTTTGATTACCATTAGATTAAGGTTACACGTTTAGTCTAAGTTTCTTTTTATTTTATTTTGTTACTTACACTTTTCTTTTCTTTTTGGTGTTTCAGGTTTATGCCTAATACCAGAAGCCAACAGAACAAAGAGTTAGTTGATCTCAACAATTTAGAACTAGCGGGTTTAGAAAGAGGAAATCGAAAAGCTAGGAAGAAGGCAGCAATGGCACCACCAATGATTCTGATTCAAGATGCTCTCAGAGATGGAGATGGCCATGTGAGAAATGCACAAGGGCAGAAACTGAATGCTGACGGGACCGTGATTCCTGAAACACTCGTCGTTGGTGTCAATCGACACCAAGCCGCAACAGACAATGCACAATTGGCTTTGAATGCTAAAGCAGTGGATGAGAACCTGTACACTTGAAGAATACAATAGGCCTGCTCTGTTTTATTCTAACCACTCTGCTATACGTCCTTCTACATTTCAGAGGAACAACTTTGAGCTCAAGCCTGGGTACTACACTCTTGTAGGACAACACCCCTTCCATGGCCACACTAATGAGCATCCGATGGACCATATTGAGAAGTTTGAAGATCTGGTATCTAGCATCAAGGCTGATGGAGGATCTTTGGATTTTCTGCTCTGTAAACTTTTCCAGCAGTCTTTAGCTGGAGAAGCACTATCTTGGCTCAAAGATTTGAAGCGTGCATCTCTTACGTGCTGGAATGATGTAAAGGTTGAGTTCTTGAAGATTTCTTGAATGATGTAAAGGTTGAGTTCTTAAATGGTGTAAAGGTTGAGTTCTTAAACATAAAGGATGCGAGGTCAGAGGAGTTGCGAAAAAAGATTTCTACCTTTTCTCAAGGGATCTCAGAGGCTTTTATGGCTGCTTGGGTGCGCTTTAAGGGGTATCAGAGAGATTTTCAACACCATGGGTATGACAAATTTCAGCTTTTGGGCATTTTCTATAGATTATTGGATTGGAGGTACCAGATGGCTTTAGATGCTGCTAGCAATGGCAACTACAATACAAGTTCTCCAGCTTAAGCCACCAAACAGATTGATAATTTAGCTTCCAGCAACAGCACTAAAGTTGCTGATTTTGAGAGGAAGAAGCTAACTCAAAACATGGATGGGATTCAACTTGCTAATGTTAAGGCCAAGCTCGATTCTGTGCATAACATTCTTGTTGCCAAAAAGACTGCTAAGTTTGCTACTGAGGTTGAAGCTATTAAACCATGTGCGGATGAAGAAGAAGGCGTGAACTACGTCAATGGAGCTGGATATTTGGGTCAGAAGTTTGGTAACACACATGGGAACATGTATAACAATGGGTATGGTCATAAAGGCACCAGCAGTTTCGTCAGAACCTATGGAAATTCTTTTTACTAGTCACCTCCCTCTCCATCTGTAGATACTGAGACGAAGTCAATGCTAGAACATATTCTAGCGGGTCAGCAGAACATGACAGTGGATTTCAACGGGAAGATGGATGCCATGTACACTGACTTGAATGGCAAAATCGAAGCCCTGAGCACTTATACCAATAAGTTAGAAACTCTTGCTGCACGGACTTTTGGAGTTGTGAAGAAACGAGAAGGGTGTAATGTCATTTTGATTAGAGATGGAGATAATGTGTGGGAGGAGGAAACAAGTGAAGATGATGAAACCGCACTTGCACAGCAGATGTCGCTCAACACTATCTCAAGGGGTCGATCGACACTGACACCAGTTCTCATGGATTCGGCTCCTGATGGACCAATATCGACTGCGATCGACACCACCGTATCAACACCAGATCACAGTGTCGATCGACACCTTCCCTGTGGCGATCGACACCCCTTACAGACAGAACCAGATTTTCTTGAAACTCTGCGACCATCTACAGAAAAGATCTACAAGCCTAAGGTTCCTTTTCCAAGGCCTAGGAAGTCTAAACAGGAGATGGAGGAACCTCGATTCAAGGCAATGATGGCAAAGGTGATAAATGAGATACGTTTAGATCATGCATATCGGGATTCACCTATGCTTAAGCGATGTGTTAAGAGGATGGTCCAAAATGACGTGAGCCCTGAGGAAGGAGCTTTGCTGGCTAGAGACATGGGTGCCATCTTCTTGAAACAGACCCCACAGAGTAAGAAAGAAAAGAAGAAGAAAGTGTTTGTTTATGAAAAGTTAGTGTCATGATTTAGAGCAGGATTCTAGAGAAGTTACCTGATCCAGGAAGTTTCGTGCTCGACTGATCTATCTTCACCGAAAGATTTCCTCACTCTCTATGTGATCTTGGCTCAGGTATCAACTTGATACCATACTCTGTTGCTGTGAGACTTGGGATGACAGATTTCAAGCTGACTAGGATCTCTCTTATCCTAGCTAATAAGTCCAAAAGAATTCCCGAAGGTGTTTTAGAGGATGTTCTAATAAGGATTGGTGAATGCATAATTCTTATAGACTTTTTGGTTTTTAAGTATAGCGAAGAACCTTTGAATCCTCTTATCCTTGGGAGATCTTTCTTAGCTACCGCTGGTGCTCTTATAGATGTTTTAGAAAGGAATGATTGGACTGCATGTGGGTGATTTGGTCATGAACTTTGATATGGACAAGTTGAGGCGAGCACCTACTATTGATGGCCAGACTTTTTCTGTAGAGGAAGCCATGGATGACTAGGCAGTCAAAGAGTATTCAGAAGACATTATTGCTAATGACCAGAGCGAGGTTCTATCTACTGACAAGTTGCTGGAGGATGACATTTTTGTGCTAGAGATGAGGATCGCTGAGACGAATTGCATAAAAAGTGCAGAAACACGAGCAGCAGGCTCAGTGTCGAGCGACACCATCTCTGTGTCGATCGACACCCCTCGTCACGACAGTCCAAACTTGCCAAAAATGGATGGGTTTTGGGTTGATCTTACTGCTGCAAGCTTGAGCCCTATTCTGAATCGGAAAGCTTCACCACCCATACTCCAGAGACCTCGAGAAAAGCAAAGGTACGCAACTTCTTACCCAAACCTTCTCATATCATCAATAAAACTTTCATAGGTACCAAGACTGTTTTGCAGTTAACCAAGCCATGACACTATCGTAGAGCGCTTGTTGGTTCTTTATATGATGTTGCAGGTAAAAGAAGTGTACCATCCAAAACAAGCGCTTAGTGGGAGGCAACCCACTTGTGAGTTTTTCTATTTCTTTTTCCTTTATTTTAGTTTTATTTTCTTTATTCGCCAATCTTAGACTTAGTAACACTTGAGACAGTGTTGTTTAAGTCTAGGGGAGGTAGTTACTAACATTTTTTATTCTTTTGGTGTTTTATCGAGTCAGTCTAAAATTTTTTTTTGTTTTATTGAGTCAAATTTTTGTAGGGAACTATGAACTCAGTCTAACGGTTTCTCTGATTTGGATTAACACTCTTATGACTCTTGATTATGCTTGATCTTAGAACCGAAGTTTGGAATGACTATGAGCTGTATCAACAATCCTGAAAGCCCTTATTCATTGGATATCCAGTTGATCTAACGTTGTCTCTAATTTTATCAGGACTTAATTGGACTTAATCTCTTACCTTGGGAGTTGGTATACGTTGGACTAGATTTCTTCGTCGAGCCGCGCAAGACACTGCACTTCTTCAAAGTATGATTCCTTCCTTCTCTCTTCCCTTCAACCTTTAAAAGAAATTGTGGAAAAGGCTTTAGGTAGAAGTGATATGAGGGATGTCTCGTAAACCCGTGCATACTTTGGATCTCTAGGATTCCAGAATAAAAAAAAGAGTTATAAAAAAAACATAAAAGAAGGAAAACAAAAGAAGAAAAAGGAATCGTTGAAAAACTAAAATGATACCCTAGTAGGGAGATATCGATTACCTTAGAAGTGAGAAAAGGGAGAAGAAGTGAAATCATACGAAGAATGTCTTGGTATGAGAAGAGTCCACGTGCCATTGATCAATATTCCCTCGGTAAGAATTCATCTTTACTTGTGTTAACTTATGTAAAGAGATGACAATGGAGAGACTGGAGATTCCTAAGGATTGTGGGATTAGAGTAAGGAATGTTGGTGCTTCTCATAGGCAAAGTACATAAAGTAAGTTCTAGAGTCAAGGCGATGAAGAGTGGAAAGAAGAGTTTCCTGCAGTTGAGTGAGTTCCCGCGTTTTCAAACTTCTTTCACAGTTTAAGTTTCTGTTTTGCTTGAGGGCAAGCAAAGGCTAAGTTTGGAGGAGTTGACATATCATGGTTTTTATGGGTTTTTGGCCATGCTATAAGTCTTATTTATATAGCTTTTATAGTGTTTTCGAGTCTTTTTGAGTCATTTCAAGATTAGGAGCTATTTGGCATGGATTTGTGATTTTTGGAGCATTTGGGAGCATTTGGAGAAGATGTGCCGAAAGAAGATACCAGGTGAGCATATTTGGTGTGAGTGTCGATCGACACAACACATGGTGTCGATCGACTCCAATATCTGACGGCAATTGAATTCCGCGTTTTATTGAAGTTTAGTAGATTTGCAGATTCGGCCCAGAAGTTTTCCTTATTTTCAATTAAGCCCAGTTCGTGGTTTAGACATATATATTCAGTTTTTAGGGTTTTGTTAAGACTTACGCTTTATCTTGGAGAGAGAGATTTGTAGAGAGCCTGGAGAGAAGAATCAAAACCTCCTTCAGAGAAGATTCAGAACTTCTTTACTTCTTCTATCACTTTCTTTCATGATATCTATTTTATTCATGATGTTTGTTTCATTCAGCATGTCTGAGTAGATTTCTTGTTAGGTTTAGGGTTTTCAAAGGAAATCATGAATTGTTAGGTTGTTAGATTGTTATGATTGAATCAATAGAGTTTTTCATCTAGATTGTGGTTAATTTGTTCTAAAGTAGTGAAAGAAACCTAGAATCTGATCTTAGGTTAATTGGTAGACACGAAAGTATTATTGATTTCCTGAAAATAATCTAGATGAGAAAAATACCTTTTCGCAAAGAGATTTGGTTTAGGGATTTTGTGAACTTATCAAACCTGAATTAAATGCATGTCTGAAACTTATAATTTTGCAAAGAGATTTGGAATTTAGGGTTCTAGACATAGATAGTCTCTGCAATGAAAGTTGATTTATTATAATTTTGTGATTTGAGTTCAAGAACGGTGCTTTATAAATTCTGAAAATTATTTATTTGCAGTACTGAATTTTCTGAGAATATCCCTAGGCTTAGCGTTTCCTCATTATTGTTTTAAAACCAATCATTAATTTAATTTGCTGTTTTTATTTAATTTAAAACCTGCTTGCTTAGCTTAATTTAATACCAATTATTTATTGAGTCTCTGTAGATTCGATCCCTGAGTACTACCGTGATCTCTTAACTGAGAGAGTAGCTCAGGGCAAATTTGAGCCGATCATTTCCATTTCTTGCGGTATCCAACAACACGCAAATTTAGAGAAAACACCTTGATACAATGTGCTTAAGAGGGATTCCTTGGAGAAGTCATAGTTATCCATCTACTCTCGATATTGAAAATAATAAATTTAAAGAGATATAAAAAAAATAGGATACCGAAATGGTTTTATTTACTTCCCTTCTTTGCTCGTTGTTTTTGTCTCACAGATACACTTTCATATGCTATTAAAGAGAGAAAAACATATTCCACTGTCCCACAGGTATGGATCTTTATTATTTCATACCATATCAAAGTCTAGTAAGTACCCAATGGAAGATTAAGGTTAAATTTTTATGTTTTATCAAGGTAAAGTTTGTATAAAATAAAACATAAAAAAATCTCCAACAAAAATGTATAGTGTTTTCTTTATTTAATCGTGTTCATATTCTTTTCTATTATCGTGTATACTATATAATATTTAGGGAAATAATATTCAAGCAATTATTTCTGATTTAATTTTTATATTCTAATACTAGTTGATATATAAGATGGTGAATGATAATACTATTATAATTTTATGCTCATTATTTGAGAAAAAAATTATAACACACAAAAATTCCTTTCCCAAAAATTTATGGTGGGCAAAGAAGATGACTACATGTGAAGAGGTATCAAACAATTGTTTTTTGTTGTTGAAGATAAACTCTTCAAGTCATCAATTTTTGCAACTCTACCGTCCCTATCCAAAAAATGCAAAACAATCATACGAAGTCAAGAATAATTCACAATACAGCCCTTAATCCAGATAAACTATTTGTTCTAAACGATTTTCTGGTTACATTCATTTATTTTAAAAAATGCTAAAGATATATTTGAGCTTCTAGTCACGAGGGCTTTGATTTGATATATTGTTTCTACAGCTTTTATGAATATGATAGTAGCGAAAACGGGCTATATCGCGTATTTATTTTAACTTTGAATGATTGACTTGCATTTTCTGGATTTGGATGGTAAAGTTGCAAAAAATGACGACCTGGAAGGTTTATTTGCACAAAGAAAAGCAGAAAAAGAAGTCCCATTTGGTAAATTCTTGACTGCATTTATATACCTTTTTATAGAATCTAAATTAGTACTGATATATTGTTTTGTACTGTATAAATATTTGATAAAGTTATGACCGTATGTCTAGATGTTCGTGGAGTGATTATAGATTATTCAGTTGTTAAAAAGATGGACTATGCTCATTTTGGAGAATAAGTATCAAAGGAAGTTGATGTGATCTATTATTAGTTAATGAATAAAAAGATTCAATTACTCCTCTATATAAGAGAGAAAAATATATAACATTATATCATCTTCACCCTTAGAGTATGGTTATTAATCGTTTCATATGATTTCATCCTCATCATTTCAAAAATGAAATTACAACACACAAACATTGCTTTCGTAATAAACATCGATCTGGTGTCAACCGACACCACCTCCGCAGAATCCCTGAAATCGACTGTCAACGCTTTAGAGGACGAAATCACCACATCCGAAGCTCCAAACATGAACCCTAACACTCAATCATGCAAACAAAACAACCAAAACAGACAATCAAGCTACAAATAATAATCTCCAGCCATCCAAAACAATCAAATAAACATCAGAAGGGTTTAACATGCCCAGATCAACCATGGAAATAGGCTTATCATCAATGAGAAAATCTATAAGCCTCATGAACATAAAAAGGAATACGACAGGCTGTTTGGTATGCTAACTGAAGAGCAAAGACATGTATATCAAGAAACAATTGATTCTGTAAATCAAAACAAGGGTGGTATGTGTTTTGTACATGAATTCGGTGGTACTAATAAAACATTCTTGTGGAGTATTCTTGGAGCTGAAAACGATCTAAATGTAATATTGTTCTAAACGTTGCATTTCTATTGGAAGGTGGTAGGATAGCTCATGCTAGGTTTTGTATACCTATCAATGTAAACGAATTTAAAATGTGTTCGATCAATGCAGAATCCGATCTTGCAAAATTGATAAAAGATGCGAAGCTTATTATATGGACGAGGCTCCGATGATGATCATACATTGTTTTGAACACTGGATAGGACTTTGCAAGGTCCAATGAAGTGTAATTAGATTTTCGGAAGTAAAGTGGTTGTTTTAGGAGGTGAAAACATCGGATTTAGGTGAACGTACTCAAATTTAAAGAGGAGTTTTGGT